AACATTGACTTTTTAAGATATCACATTATATGCTTATTTTGACTTTCAGTAAATCAGTTTGACTTTCAGTAAACCGGTTCCCAACCTGTGGTCCGTGGACCATCAGTGGTCTGCAAGAACTAAAATATCGTCCATGGTCTCACTGTTACTACACCATTGCAACAAGAGCGACTGGTCACACGCAACCCTCTTACAGTGCCAAGTGCCAATATGGTTTCTTGTGGGCAAGCAGATGGCAACTATTGGATGGCATATGTTCTGTATCAGAAACAAGAGCTGATGTGGTCTATCCAATGCCATTTTCTGAATCAGCACCGCAAACAACAAAACAAAATCTAGAGTTGAACAAAAACCGATTCATAACCATTTTGGTATGAATGTTGGAGAGTGGTCCCTGGTCAAAGTGGTCCCTGGTCAAAAAAAAAATGGAAACCACTGCAGTAAATAAAATGTTGATATATGTTTTTGTGATATTCAATTTGGAAAGAAAAAAACAGCCCCCTTTCCTTGATTGGCCATATCTGAGAACCCCCAACATTTGTTTCTTTTTTCTTTAACATTCCTTAGATTTGTTCAAACTGCATTAGCTTTTCTCATCCCCTTGCTGTCGTATTTAGGAACCTGCCTGTACCGTATCATTTCTTGGCATCTAAATCCTTTTTTCCAGTATTTTACATTAAAATTTTAATAACAAAAAGCACACAAAAAAGCAACAAATATTTATAAATACATGAACATAGATATACTTTAAACAATAACTGCCCAACAAACATACATCTCTACCAGCAACTCAAACTGTGTTGTCGAAGGCTTTCATGGCCAGAATCATTGGGTTGCAGTGAGTTTTCCAGGCTGTATGGCCATGTTCCAGAAGTACTCTCAAAATCGTCATGTGGACAATTTCAACAAAAAGGAGGAAACATGAAAATGAATAAAATCTGTCTGCCAGTATTAAAAACCTCTAAAATCAGGACAGTAAATAAAGAGCAACACTCTTGGGTTGTTGTGGGTTATCCGGGCTGTATGGCATGTTCCAGAAGCATTCTGTCCTGACAGGGGAATTCCTGACATGAAACAATCAGGGCCAGCTAACACTTTCCAACACAGGATTCCCCCCCCCCCCCCCACAGGCAGGAATCAGCCATTCTTTGAAGCAGCAAGGCCATTCAATGCTAATCAAGGTGGCCAATTGCAACATTCACACTGCCTCAAGAAGACAAGAGTTCTTTCTCCCCCTGGACATTCCACAGATATATAAACCCTTGCCTAGTTTCCAACAGACCTCACAACCTCTGAGGATGCCTGCCATAGATGTGGGCAAAACGTTAGGAGAGAATGCTACTGGAACATGGCCATATAACCTGGAAAAACTCAAAGCAACTCTAAAACTATCAATATGTACATAAACACATTTAAAAGTGGTTTTCCAGCTTCTCTTATGTTTCAGCAACATTGTTAATTTGTCCATTCTTATTATTTTCCACATTTTGACTGTCCTGTTGTCTACAGTTGGTAACTCTGTCATGTTCTACTTTTGAGCATATAAAATTCTTACTGCTGTTAACATGTCCTACAGTATTCTCTTGAGTTCCCTTTTTTATCATCCAGTAATCCTAGCAATGTAAGTTCTGGCTTGACGTTGATTCTTGTTTAAGAATTTCATGAATTACCCCATGGATTTGTATCCAGATGTTTTTGACCTTTTTACAGGTCCATGACATATGATAATAAGACCCAGCATGAACTTCACATTTCCATCATCAGTATCTGAATCATAAGATTTGCTAAACAAGACTGATTTTAACTTTTTGGGAGTACAGTTTAAGCATTTTCTACAGATTCTGTTGTAAATGCTGCACATTGTTGCTAAATGGATGATCAGAAACGCTAAAAGGAGCCAATTTGAGGTTGGGACCCACAGTTTTAAGGAGCAGTGATATAGACAATTTGATTAGGTGTCGTGCATCATGCGTTACGACAAAGCTACTCCTCTCTTGTCCTTATTTTTACATTATTTGCCAGAGGTATAGGTTTTGGTGACCTTTTCATTGTTATCTTTTCTGCCGATATTTCTTTTCCAATGAATTCAAGATCAATTTCCCCAGAAGTTTGCAGTGTGTTATAGAGTTCAGTGTTTTGCAGGTTCTATAAATATCTAGCAAATGGGATTACTGGAAACTTCATTATCCCTAATGTGTTTTCTCTCAACAAGGTAATGAAACTGCAAAGTTCAGAGCACAAAGATTAGGTGCCTGAAATCCCTCAAATTTTGTTCATTGTGTTCTTAGTGTTTAGCAAGATATTAGTGATTCTGGCAGATTTAAAACACTGACAAGATAAATATAGAAAAGCCCCAGATCTGATGATCAAAGTCTTTAGCAAGCAACGGATCATCACAGGTTTGATTATACCATAGCTGCATTATTTATTTATTTGAAACATTTATATTCTGTCCTTCTCACCCTGAAGGGGACTCAGGGTGGAGCACACATATATACGGCAAGCATTCCATGCCGGGACATAAAATAACAAAAGACACTAAAATAATAACAAACACTAAAATCAAATTATATCTATTTTAAAATCAGTTGCTTAAAACCATCTCAAAACACCGTGCTAGCTCTGGTCTACGTAGTATGTTTCCTATTATTCATTGCACTGTCCCAAAGGCTTGGTCCCACAGCCAGGTTTTTACCATTTTTCCGAAGGACAGGAGGGAGGGGGGCTGATCTAATCTCGCCAGGAAGGGAGTTATATAGCTGGGGGGCCACCACTGAGAAGGTCCCCTCTCTTGTCCCCACCAATCGTGCCTGTGACTTCTAGAGTCATACCTCTATGGAGATCACCCTTTCCAGTCATGTCTGTAATTTTTGCCTGGATTACTACAGTACGTCAGAACTTTAATATCTGAATCTTTCAAGATATTCAGAGTACCACTGGAGGGTTATTTATTTATTTATTTATTTACTGTATTTGTATACCGCCTTTCTCAGCCAATCGGTGACTCAAGGCAGTTTCCAACAAATCAGTACATATAAAAACATAATACAGATTAAAACATTAAACAATATAAAGCACTACAAAAGCAATAAAAACAACATCATTAGTGTCTCATTATTATCAAGCATTGTCCAGTTCCATTGTCAAATCGTTCGATTTCCTATATTAACTACTCTGCATTTGTAAACACTTGCTTGAACAGCCATGTTTTAACTTGCCTCCGAAACGTTAAGAGGGAGGGAGCAGATCTAATCTCCCTAGGGAGGGTGTTCCATAGCCGAGGGGCCACCACTGAGAAGGCCCTGTCTCTCGTCCCTGCCAAATGTACTTGAAACAAAGGCGTGACTGAGAGCAGGACCTCCCCAGACGATCTTAGAGTTCTTTATGGTTTGTAAGGGGAAACACGTTCGGACAGGTAAGTTGGGCCAGAACCGTTTAGGGCTTTATAGGCCAAAGCCAGCACTTTGAATTGGGCCCAGTAGCAAACTGGCAGCCAGTGGAGCAGACGCAACAAGAGAGTTGTATGCTCCCTGAGCGCCGCTCCTGTTAGCAACTTGGCTGATGTTCATTGGACTAGTTGAAGCTTCCAGACCGTCTTCAAAGGCAACCCCACGTAGAGAGCATTGCAGTAGTCTATACAGGATGTAACCAGAGCATGGACTACCGTGGCCAAGTCAGACTTCCTAAGGTATGGGCGCAGCTGGCGCACAAGCTTTAACTGTGCGAATGCTCCCCTGGTCTCCGCCGAGACCTGGGGTTCCAGGCTCAGCGATGAGACCAGGATCACACCCAGACACTCAGTGAATTGGCTAAAGGTATTATCAAGGGATTATAACACTGACCCAAAGCAATTGAATGAGCTGATAACGAATTGATTTAAAGCAAGTTAATCAATGTTAGTTATTTTTTATTTATTGAAATTACATCCTACCCTACACCCGAGAATTTCAAGGTAAATATAATAACAGAGAGCAAGCATGGTGCAGGCACACAAGTCTAGGGATTTATAGAAAAACCACAACAACAATAATGATACTTTATTTGTACCCCACCCTATCTCCCCGGGGGACTCAGTGTTGGGGAAAAAATAGCAGTATTTTTAATTTGCATGTCCCACTTTTGCAGAAGTCCTGTACTCTTAACACTAGCAAATGTGGAGTGTCAATTGTAGATATGATGACAGAGCTCTGCAATTAGATGTCACATCTGCACACTTTTCTCTTAAAGCTTTCTCATTAAAAGCCACCTGCTATCCTTGAACCCACACTTTACTTATTATATTAGAGTTTCTTTTTTGAGGAAACTATAGTTGGTGGTGAGGAGGGAGCAACTTTCCTTACCCCCTTCCCTCAGTGCAGCATTCTCACAGTTATGACTTATGCCAACCCTGAAGCGAACCTTGTGAAACCTGCATTTAAAAATCATGGTTTTCCATTACTCTATTTAGATTTCCTTTTGGATTGAAAAAGGAGCAAAGTCTTATGGTGCATCTATGCTGTAAAATGAATGCAGCTTGATACCCACTTTAACTGCCACTGCTCAATGCTATGAAATCAAAGCTTTAAGAGACTTTAGCCAAACAGTGTTGGTGCCTCTCCAAATTACAGTTCCCATGGCATTGAGCCATGGCAGTTAAAGTGGTGTCAAGCTATTTAATTCTACAGTATAGATGCAGCCTTCGTAGTATGGAATCAGTTCCTTTCAATTCCACTGCTTCATGCTTTGTCATGGGTTGGTTTTTTGGGGATTTTTTTTTTTGCTTTAAAAGCCCCTTTAAAAAATTCAAAGTGAGTTGCAACACTTCCTCAACATTGTTTCACGTCTCATATGAAGCTCAGCAGTTGGCTGAACAATATGTTTCAGTGGTTTCTCTAATTGCCAAAACATTGTATTCCATTCTGTTTCATTCCCTCACGTTGTTCTGAAATATATGTTATTAGTTTTGAAGCCTGCAAGTATTGCTGTGAATTTTGAGCAATCCTTTTTGTTCCCAAAGGTAGCCCATGGAATGAGCAGCAGCCATCCCAGTACTCTGCTGATATGGACACCTCTGATGAAGATGTCAAAGGAGCCCACAAGTCCCTTGCCTATCCTCCACATCACACAAAACGCAGGAGCCGGGCCTCATCCCAGGAGAACATAAATCACTCTGGAAGTCAGGTAGACCAAAGACAAGGCATCCTGCTAACAATGTGGCACCACTCTTGTAATCTCCTAGTCCCTATGCTCTAGGTCAGAGCTTTCCATATATTTTGTGTGCGTGATACTCTTTTTAAATATGCATCATTTTGCGACACAGTAGTTCAGTCTTACTCACAAATCGGAGGTCATACCAACCCCTTATAAGAGATAAGAGACACATACATATGTTCTTAATAACGAAATGTATTGGGAGAGAATAGATCTCATGAAAACCTTTCATTTATATTTTTAAAATAGATGGTTTATTGTTTATTTCACAATTTTATTTCACAAGTTTATTTTTCGTCACCTTCATGCAACATACCTATGTGTTGCAACAGAAACACTAACATGTCACATTTATTTATTTATTTACTTGATTACTGTATTTATACCCCCCTTCTCACTCCAAAGGAGACTCAGAGCGGCCTTACAATAGGCAACAAACAGATGTAAGGAAATAAACATATACATTAAAAACATAAAATTAAAGAGCAATATAAACATTTAAACCTGTTAATTAAAACTATGCAATCAAAAATACACAATTTGGAAACCTCTGCTCTAGATATTTCAGCAATGAAGTGCAGGCCAGTGTTTAGTCAAAGCAATGCTCTGTGGTGCTGGCCTCTTGCAGGTTTCCATGAAAACAAGAGACGGTTGTCGCCAAGGAACACTTATAGGGCACCAGTCCCTGTCGTGTTGAGGAAAGGAGGTTGCAGATACCACAAATTAGTTAGCCTAAAGCTCCTTCTATACAGTCATATAATCCAGTATCTCTCTGGACCCTGATTATCTGCTTTGAACTGTATTATATGGCATCGTAGACTTATATTATCCAGTTCAGAGCAGATAATCTGGGATTTGATACTGGATTATATGGCAGTGTAGATCCATTCTAAGATGAACCAATACAAATAACACTGTTCAACGGAGAAAAAGTTGCGGGCCTGAAAATAGTTGTTCTTTTATGATTTTGGGGTGCTGAAAACGAAAATGACATTTAAAAATGTATATTGGCTCTAGTTTTTATGATATAAGCAATCACGTGATCACATATGGTTGAAAAATGCATGTTGCGACTTACACTATGGAAGATTCTAGAATATTCTAGAAAGTTTGATGACGCAGTATTAGTGCCATGTGCAAAAGCCAGAAAGCCCTGTATAAGGCCAGACTTTTGAACGGTGAGGGTCAGTCAGTTGAAGACTGAGACAGTATCATTAAACATCGTTTTACATTGTTCTTTTTACTGTAGTTATGCCTCGCACGTGTGTAAATAAAGCACTATGGAAAAAAGATATCAAGGTAAATGGACTCCGTCAATGCTGTCAGACTACTGCTGGAGCATTGTAAGAGACAATCCTTTCCTTGAATACAAAAGAAAAGTCAAGAGAAGCAAACAGGATATAAACTAAAGTCACGATTAAAGCGACATTTAAACTTTCAGACTTTTCAACTGCATTAGGCCTACTAATATAGTTTCTTGCTGCACAAACATAAACAATAGACTAATTAAATAAATATCTCTCATGTATAAACTATTGGCAATATCATTTGACTAAAATTTAGTAAATATTCACGGTTTATATACATGCAGTAAGGTTAGGCGCATTATCATAATATTAACGAATTACCTATTGTGGAGAAAATTGAAATAGCTGTTGCATAAAAACCAGAGCCAATTAACACATTTAATTATTATATTTGAATTCAGCATGTTAAATTTATTAAGAAACGGCACATTTCGTTTCCGCAACTGAGAAAAACTGAAAATTGTAGAACAGTGAATATGTTCGGGATGTCTTTTTGTTTAGTTCACTGCCTGGATAAGAAATGTTTTGTTTATGCCACATAAGGAAAATGTGGCCCTAGGATGACATGCATCAACTTTCCATGCCATTTTGAAAGCTCTCAAACCTGCTTCCCAATTTTATGGATTGCCCCTCTGGAGTCATCGTCCGTCCGTCCAACCCCACCCCCAAAAAGGTGCACTAACTCTTCTGGAAGTATCTATACTAGCAATTCATCTTTGTGATACTTTAAACAGGGCACTGATTTTTAAAAAAAATATTTGCTGTGGACTTACCAGCTACTTATGGTTTAGGGTTTTTGTTTTTTTCATTTTTATGAAATTATGGCCATTACTCCTGAATCTTTGCTTGTCAGATGTGGATGGAGCATCCTCCTTCAATATTGCATTTACAATATTTTGTTCTGCAGTACTTTTTATAAATGTACACATTTATGCAAAAGCCCATATAAATGAATTAACGAATTGACAGATTTCCAGAACATTATTTACTTTAGCTGTATCCTTAATAACAAAGTATCTGGTGCCTAACTACATAGAAAAAATACAATTTCAGGCCTCTCTCCTAGCTAACAATCAGCACAACACATTCTTATCAGAGAAAATAACATCACTTGACATATTCCACCTCTTAACACAGGGTGTAAGTGCAGAACTATTGAAAAGTGTCCCCAGTCCATAATAATCTTGTCATAAATCATATTTGGTAATACATGGGAAATTTCAAAACATGTCTTCTGAACACATTGTGTTAATCAGTCTCCTATTTATAGAACAAGGTAAAGAACACATATTTTCAAGTTCTAAATTATGTGAATTCTTATCAGAGAAAATAACATCACTTGACATATTCCACCTCTTCACACAGGGTGTTTTTTGCCCCGTTTTGCTGCTTTTTTATGCAGCAAGGACGCATGGTAGGCACCACCAACTTTCCTCTCAAAGTGGGCTGGAAGTGCCGAAAGGTGCTTTCTCCACTACTAAGTGCACTTTCCTCTCCTTTCCCCATATGTTGGGGGAAAGGGCGGTAGGGCAATGCGCGCTGCCACTCTTTCTCCCATCTGATGGGGACAGGATACCAATGCACCCTGTCCTGTACCCACCATGTGATGGGGAAGGAGGGAGGGCGCAGAAGTCGCCATGAGCCACCCCGCGCACCCTCCCTTTTTGCTGGCAATTGCTAGTGCAATGGCATGACTCAAAAGGACTGTGTAAAGAGGTTGATTGTGTGAAATTGCACTATTTGTAGTGAAAAGCACAAGTGGGACCACACCTACACCTGAACTGCATTATATATTCAGTGCAGACTCATTTAATGGAGCTCAGTTCAGTTAAACTGCATTATATGAGTATGCACTGACCATATATGGAAATTTCAAAGTGCATTAAATGGCAATGTTGATGGGACCTAGATTTCCTGTTTTTCTTCTGGCCAAAACCCAAAGTGAAAATGAGCCAAAGGCCATGATTGTTGTAATTGAACAGTTGGAGCCATTGCATATTTCTAGAGAAGTGCAATGTTTTATTTCCTGTAGATGACTCACATCAGTCTGGATCTTGATGTATTACTCATCCAACCAACAGTTTCAGTTGCACCTTACAGTTTGAAGCTGTAGGGAATATAAGGTCAGCACTGCTTTACTAGAGTCATAGAATCATTGAGCTGGAAGAGACCTTGTGGCCAGTCCAACCCCCTGCCAAGAAGCAGGAATACTGCATTCAAATCACCCTAACAGATGGCCATCCAGCCTCTGTTTAAAAGCTTCCAAAGAAGGAGCCTCCACCACACTCGAGGTAGAGAGTTCCACTGCTGAACAGGTCTCACAGTCAGGAAGTTCTTCCTCATGTTCAGATGGAATCTCCTTTCTTGTAGTTTGAAGCCATTGTTCTGTATCCTAGTCTCCAGGGCAGCAGAAAGCAAGCTTTCTCCCTCCTCCCTATGACTTCCCCTCACCTCTTTATACATGGCCTTCATCATGTCTCCTCTCAGCCTTCTCTCCAGCAGGCTAAACGTGTCCAATCTCCAAGTGTTTGGCGGTAGCTGACTTTGAGGTAAAGAGAACCAGTGCTAATATCAAGCTGTAGAATGTTGCAGCATAACAGACGTAGAACAATGTCTTTGCCAGTCCTGCAGATAGTGTTCTAGCTGCAGATAAACCAATGGTGTTTATCATAGAACTGTCACTATACTATTTAGGTTTGATCAGCAATATTTTCCCTAAAGTTATTTAATTTTTTTTTTCCTTTGGGGGAAAATGATCAAAACGATCAAATTGTCTCTTGTAAAAACTCCGATACGCAACGAATACATCATTATCATCATATGTGATCCTTCGTGACCAAGTCATCAAAATGTAGAGTAATGGATTTGTTGTCTATAACACAAGTGTGAGTGAAATCTCAGAATGAGGATCTGCATAAGGTTTCGTACAATATTTATTTGTTACCTCTGACACTAGCACAATCTAATACTGTCCCACAGTTGTTTCCATATCATGAAAGGGGATAGGCAAACTGTAGTGTTCTCGAGACCAATACCTCTTATCCTTCAGACCTACTATGGTTTTCAAACTGCGATTATGTTATGCTTCTTTCAAAATCAAAAGTGAACATATATTTATATCTTTGGGGGTGGGGGGGGGATGAGCTTTGGAAATGTCATACACCCACAGACATGTACATCCTAAAACAAGGCATCTCCATACCCTAGGGATTTCTTGTTGTCTCGTGATCTCTTTAATTTCAATTGGAAATTCCCGTTATTTTTATTCAGAAAGATAATAAAGATAGACCCTATTCTGAGGTCAAGGAAATGGAAAGGAAAAATTCAGTCTCCAGCAATTAACTTAGTGCCAAACAGAGTTTCCCAGCTGGGGCTAATGAAAGCTGGGGGGTATGGATTTTCATCTGGATTTTCATCAAATTTCATCTTTTCATTTTTTGGTCGTGTCAGGAGCGACTTGAGAAACTGCAAGTCACTTCTGGTGTGAGAGAATTGGCCGTCTGCAAGGACGTTGCCCAGGGGATGCCCGGATGATTTGATGTTTTATCATCTTTGTGGGAGGCTTCTCCCATGTCCCCGCATGAGGAGTTGGAGCTGGTAGCGGGAGCTCATTCGCCTCTCCCCGGATTTGAACCTGCGAACTGTCGGCCTTCAGTCCTGCCG